GGCACGGAAAATCGAGAGTCAGCGACGAGTTGTCCAAAGCATGAATCAAAATGAATATGAACAGGCATTGGTCAAGGTGAAGGAGAAAATACGTCTGGCAGAGGGAACTGACATGCAGGAACGTATGGAAGAACAAATACGTCAGTGGTTCCTTGAGTGCAGGTATTTGTCGTTTCCCAAAAAACTGTTATCCATCTTAAAGCTGCTATCTTCTGGAGTGATCGGTGATGGATTATTTGGCGAAATATGAAATGAGATGAGCATTGAACTCTACTAAAATTCCACGATTGCAACATGATTTTATCTGATTCAAAATGCGATTTGATGGGCAATCCACAATTTTTTATTTATGCTATTCCCGAACAGCCCACATACCTCTTTTGCCAGTTCTAAACGCCTTGAATCGCAGACGCCTTATTTATTTAAAGGAGGGACTTGAGTTATTCCTATCACTATATGCAATCAGTACTAAAATAAGGATTAAAAATCATAAACATTTTGTCTGCATATCGAATTATATTTGACGTTGACAAATTTCGCTTGTGGGCGCAAAAACCGTATCGACCATTGGTTTTCACTGTAGAGAGGCCAACGATGTTTTTCCTGAATTCCCTTCAGTGGAAGAAGGTGGCTCCCAGTGGCTCTTCAAACTTAAACCACCGGAACTCCTAGCTCAAGAAGAAGAAGAGCGAGTGAGTCACAAGAGTCATCCGTATTACCTCTGAACAATCAGGAGCTATTAAACAAGTAATAATTGGCTCGTAGCATTTTTGTCCAGATTGTTGTTTGGTGTTTTGCATTAAGCTCATTCACCATATAACTAAGTAAACTTCGACTTTAGATTGCAGCAGAGAGAAGGCGCAAAGAGAAAGAGCTGAGAGAGAGCGGCAAAAAAATTGAGATAGAAAAGAGGAAGAAGGTGTGTTTTTGTACCTAAACCTCTTTTTAATTAAACTTATCGACGCGTATTTGTGTGCTTGAAACTCTGCAGTAATGCCTCTTCACCTTATTCAATCGATGGACGTAGGAAATGTTAGTTGTCTTGGATGGAACTGACTTGAGTATGCACATTTTAGAGAGAACCTGAGGGATGGTTTATGTCGCCTTCCGCATTCATTCAAGATCTCACTGACGGTTGTAAGGAATATAATGGCAAGTATTCAAGGATCGAGAAACACCCCCCTCCCCTATAATGCATGCTACTCAAGCCAGAATATCCGAGTGAAACACCTACAAAGTCGGACGCTTAAAATTCAGTTTCATATATTTTTCATGGAAAAATTCGTGTCCTTACGTTTGACAAGTTGTACTATTATACTTTAAGAAAATTGGCGAAATCGTGATGAAAGCACCAATGCCTTTCAGAGACATGACGAAGAAATTATTAAAAATGATAAACGTGCACAGCTCGAACTCGAAATCCGTGCCCATGTACGTGACTTGTTGATCTGCCCTTCCTGAAAGGCTCAGTTACAACTTTCATAGTCTCTGTTTTCATAGCAAAACATGCCTTCTGATTTTTAGTCCTTTGTACGCACTTGATAAAAACAAATACAGGACAAATCTACTCTTGAAGGAATCTTTGGAGACTTCGCAGTGTCCCTTCATTTTCAGGTTGACGACTTGATGCGGCAAGAATTGCGAAATCTCAAAATCGCTATTGATGGACAAAGGCAAAAGAGGATAAACAAACGAAAAGTCAAGAAACCCAAGGTTAAGAGAAAGAAGGGAGGGTTAAAGGACCTGACGAAAGATAGGTACGCTTATATTTGCTGACTTCTTAACCAATATTTTTGAGATCCGAATACAGTTGAGCCACACATGCTTGTTAGTTGAGCACTAAGAACAACATGTCTTCCCTGTGTTTGAAGAACATTGGAATCGGTCTATGAAGAATTGGTGATTGAAGACGTGGTTAAAAAACCTCAAAACGTAAATCTTGATCAATACTATGGAGAATATTCATACCTTGGGACAACATTAAAGGAAAGTATGATTGAACCTCAGCCTTCCCTATCTGATGTTAAACAACTAGTCACGTTATACGGAATTCTGCCTTTGGGTAAGAATAGACCAAGTTCAGCTGCTCTGATTCTGCAGCTGGCCACAATTTATTCTTCCTACCATTTAGTGCACTTCCTACTCACCAAAGTAAAATACATTTCGCATTACGGTTCATTTCAAATTGTAACTGTGTATTAAGTCTTATAAAGTAACCAAGAGCTGTCTTAACTGCTTATTCGCATTAATAAAACGCCTGGACATCGTTTTTTTCCGTAAAAAATGTCTAGCTAATAGTAGATTGTTCAACACTAGGTTCTCCGGATGTGCACGCAAGAGCCAGTCTAACGCGCTCCATCCTGCTGGCCGGACCCTCTGGGACAGGAAAGAAGATGCTAGTACATGCCATTTGCACCGAAACAGGCGCTAACCTCTTCGACCTGACTGCGGAAAACATCATGGGTAAGTACACCGGCAAGGAGGCTACTCGTCTGCTCGTCAACATGGTTTTCAAGGCCGCGAGGCTCCTTCAGCCTTCCGTGATCATGGTGGACCAATGTGAGAAGATGTTCGGCAAAAAGATCCCGAAAACAGACAAGGTGTGAGGGAAGCTAACTTCCAATCTTTTTTGAGCAGCAGTTATGCACTTCTACCTTTCTAGAAAAGACCGCAACTATAAAGTGAATTTAATTTACCAAATTCTTCAGTATGCTTTTTTAAGCACAATTCCACGTTGTCCATAGAACACGAAACAACTATTTCTCGAAGCATTCATCGCACAATGTCCAAAAGTCGTATCAGTCCTAAAGCCGATGCAACTCATTACTGGCTTATTTGCCCCATAAATTACTGAGTTGGATAGCATTATGTTTCGTCATTGCTGTTATTTTTCTACAAGACCGATCCCAAACGTCTAAGGAGAGAGCTTCCTAGAGCGGTACGAACAATAAAGCAGGGCGACCGAATCCTTCTGGTAGGCTGCACACACGCACCTTTCGACGCAAAGGTGAAACCCTTCTGCAAACTCTACGATCGCATCATTCTTCTTCCGCGTCCTGACTATGCCTCTCGATATCGTGAGTTAGTTTCCATTGTTGGGGACGCTTCACAGCTGACATCACAAACTGCGCAGATGACACCTAAATAAGCCATTGTAATTCGCAGTCATTCATTGAAGTAACCTATCGATAACTCGATTTAGGCTTGTTAAAATTGTTCCTTTATTGATGAAAGAAGGTAATATTTTTTTAACCAACTCTAATGAGAGAATTTAGAATCATAAAGCTTCCGTTCTTTTCACTCAGTGATGTCAGTTTTTTGTTTTACTAGTCATTTGGAAAGTGGTAATTGTGAAGAATGGCGGTGTCCTGACAGATGCCTTGGATATCTCCTCCTTGGCAAAAGTGTCCGACGGCTATACCATGGGAATGATGGATAGAGCATGTAAGGAGGTGCTCACGGAGCGCCGCCTGGCCCTACTAGACAAGGCACCTCTCGCAGCCTCGGAGCTGATCGTCCCTCTCTCCCGTATGGATCCTGTCTTTCTAGAGGAAGAAGAGGCGTACAAAGTAACAGTGACGTTGGATCATCAAAGTTTACTCCTTATCAAATAACGATCTTTAATTAATATGTCTTACATTTTTATGGCTTTGAAGGCATTAACTTGGCCTTTGCTTGCCTAGAAATGGTACCGCAAAACGCCACTGGGAAGGAAGAAGATGAAGGCCATCGAAGAGGCAAGCGTATCTCAGAAAAAGACCGCCAAGCCTCGACATAAATAGAGCTCCATACCCCCCGACGCCACTGCTCCAGTTCCACGGCCTTGCAAGTGACAGCTTGATACACGTCGGAAAAAATGCACTTTTACTACTAAACTACCAGAATTAGTGAAGGGAAGAGAAACAATTTGTAAATTGATGCAATTGTTTTATGGGATGATGGAATTTAGAGATTCCTAGAATTGAGAACAGTTTAGCGAAAATAGCATGTTAACTTCCCGTGATGCGGACTGCCACGCAAATTTTGTGCATAAAAAGCCACAACTGTAATGTAGATCGCAGAACGCGACGAATGTGAACAAAACAACGTGGACTGTAATCCAAGAACGAAGAAAATAGAAAAACGATGTATTTTCACAGGACTCCCAGTCCCAAAAAGTAAAGACACGGTAGTAATAGGATTATCAAGAACTCTGACACTGTCTTGAGTCGATTTTGTGGATTCGATTGTTCAGACCCCTTCGATTCCGCGCAATCTCGATTGCGAGAAACTGCACACGAGGGACTGAAAGTGAAAAGTGAGAGTGGGAGCACAAAAGACACGTTGTTCATCAAAATTCTAGCACACTGATAGGATCAAAGCGTCCCATCAGCGTGCATTTACGAGATGCCAATTTGGATCCTGGCTATATAAGATCAAGAGGTGCGGTGTGAAACTATCAGAAAGCGTTTTCGAAACCGGTAATGGCTAAGCGATTTTGAGGTATCAATTTTACAAGCGGTACATGTGCATTTACCAATGCATGTGTTGTTTTCATCATAGCCTCGAGAAGAATCAAGCCTCAGAAGAGTTCCACGGTTGTAATCTTCCACAACACCATCAAATTCGTTGCAGAAAGATCGCCACAGCTTGGGGATGGAAGAAGAGTGTTTAGTTCAACGCTTATTGCGAAGCATTAAACGATGTGTAAAAGTTGGATACGAACAATAAACAGATTTGCGAATGATTCGAAGTTTAGCAATGGTGCCAGGAGGACTCATAGGGGATTTAGACGAAGCGAAATGGTTTGTGTGACCCATCACCTCCTTTTGTTCCTTGGATTTGATATCATCCTCGCTAACGCAGTCCACGTCAAGATTGGGGAACGTTTTACAAAACGCTGTACAAATACGATCATCAATAGCCGATAACCGAAGAAGGCGCGCGTCTGGGACAGCACACAGTATGTTGTAGTGTGTTTCCGCATGGTCATACGCGGCCATCGCCCAAGACATCTCAACAAACGCCTGTTGAACAAAGGCAAGAGTGAGAAGCAATATTAAGTTGTGAGCAAGGACACAAGCATATTCCTTAAGATTGGGGTATATTTTGAGAAGAGAAGCGCCACTGAACTAAAGAGAGTACCGGACATAGAAAGACTCACGTCGTTTTGGTAATTACCGTGACTCACGTCCATCATTTCACATGAAAGAGACCGAACACAATACTGATGCTCCTCCTGCAAACCCAATCATAATGCAGAATTAGGGTCCTCGATGGTGCCTTAGTAAACTAAAACTCGGAGATTTTCTGTTCTTTAGAGGCGAAAATCG